TTACTTCGATACTAGTTCGATACTCAATTTACTATAAATTTATATGAATGGGTCACAACCCATATATTAAATTTACTATAGATCGGTACTATTTCGATACCACTTCGGTATCGGTTCAGTACTTTTCGGAGCCCTAGTTGTATCCAAACATCTGGCTCATGATTATATTCAATTAGACTGTATGAAGATGGGACCTCTGGTCTTTCTGACGATCGTGGGCTGAAAACAGATTAAAGCAGGAAAGGTTGCATGAGGAAAGGCTTCTGGTCTAACTCCGATAAAAGCTCACAACTTCTTCTGGCATGGCAGCCTCCGTGCAATAGTGCAAATCAAAGGTGTGTTAACCCGATTAGGCAACTTTGAAGAAGATCACTATATAGACAAGATACGTGGATTTCGTCCAAATTCTCCTATAGGAGTTGCGCCCTGCTTGACATTTATGCCCCTAAATTTGGCAGCTTAAATCAACTGAGAGCCTATGGAGTGTTTACTGGGAGATTTAGGAGTCGCGTCCCACTTGGTCAGCAACCGAGCCCCAGATTTGGTAGTGTATGCCAACTATAGGAATAACTCTCGAAGTATTTACTAGGAAATATAGGATAATAAAACCATAGGTACCATGAATACTTGAGCTCGAAATGTGAAGTGATAAGAAACCTAGTGACAGTTAACATGCTTACTATCGATGACTATCCAAAACTGGAAACCAAGGTTAAGGTGATTTAAAACTGGCAGCAGGATTTCTCCTCCCTTGAAGTTTTCCACTCAACATATATATCCATCTCTTGGATATAAGTAAGTATAGTTGGGTTATAACAGGCGGTACTAGGATTAGATTAGCTAATATAGTTAATCAGATTTTTCATATAATGACAAAAATAATTCTAGTAATTAATAAAAGTCTCGCATGTAATGCGCTTTGTCTATAAAAAAAAAAAAATAAATTTATATAATGTTTAAAACATTATTAAAAATAATAGTAAGGTATACTTCATATATTAAATTTAATATAAATTTAAGAATCGAAACAAAATTAAATTAAATTATTAAGATTCTTAATTTCAAGTGTTTTGAATATAGAATATTCTTTTTTTCTTGAATTCAAATTCTTTATTAACTATTATTTGAATAAAAGTAATATTTATTATATGTTACTTGAACAAATTCTTTTTTTTCTAACTTAAACTGGAATTTTATTATAGTATTCAATATGTTATTATTAAAATCTTTCATACTTTCTTATATACAAATATTTGCTTTAACTATTTTTTTATATATGTCATTATATCAAATTACTTATATTTATTATAATAAATACTTTTTTTTTTATTATATTTGTATTTCTAAGAATATATATAATTTTAATATATTTCTTAAAGATGATATATTTCTTAATATAATCTATTAATTTTGAAAATAATATTCTTTTGATATATACTTTTAAGTTTCTTAAAAAACATATTTTTGATTCTTGTTGTTAAAATCATGTTTTATAATTTTTAATAAAATTATTATTATTTAACAAACTCTTAAGCTTTGTATACTTTTTTTAATAATAGGTTTAAAGTGTTTTGATTTATATTTGTGATAGAAGATTTTTAATATAAATAATATAATTATTTAATATAATTAATTGAATTATTATTAAAACATATAAAATAATTAAGTCAAATATAATTATTTTTAAAAATTTTAGTAATTGAATTAATAGTAAAATAATTTATACAACATATATATTTTAATCTATATAAAAAGATTTTTTACTTTTGAATATATAGTATATGATTATATAATCTCCTTTATACTATATTGTTTATATAATTTGATAATTGAAATTTATCTTGAATTGCCTATTTAATAACAATTGTATAAATTAACAAATATTAAGAAGATATAAATAATTATATATAATGATTTTCATAAATTTTTTTATTGAATATTATTGATTAAATTTTTTTAAACAAATATATAATAAAAATATATAAAAATATTATATAGATAAAATAGTTTGTATAAGCTAAAAAAACATATCGATTATTTTATTTTTTTAATATGTTTTATATATATATATATTTTCTTTATCATTTCTTTATAATATTATTTTTGAAATTTTAGTATATATGAGTTTAAGATTATTTTTAGCACAATTATATTAGTCAAAAAATTTTTTTTCAAACTTTTTTAAATCATATTCTTTGAAAACTTTTTAAGTATTAATAGTTGTTTTTATATTTTTTTTATTAAAAAAGTTAATAATGCTAGTAACTATTTTACAATAATTTGTTATTTCTTATCATAGGTATTAATAATTTTTTTTGTAACAAATTAATATTTTTTTTAAAAGATATATTAATTTCTTTTTCTTGACAAATTGTTTATTTGTTTTTGTTGCTTTGTATAGGATAATATTCTTATAATCTATAGTTAGTCTTAAATCAATAAGAGAATAATTTATTTATAAATATCAATTAAATTAGCATGATTCTTAATTATTATTTACATGAAATAATCTATTGATCAATAAAATATTACAACCCAATAAAATTTATTAAATTAATTAATTAAATAATAGTTATATAATAAATTTTGTTAAAATTCTAATTGATAATTTAAAAAAACTTATTTCAAAAAATAATATTACCAGTTTATTTTTTTCAAAATCTATTTTTACAGAGTTGTGATAAATTTTAAGATACTTTATTTTATTTTGAGTTAAGACTTTTGACACCATATAATATTTATTTTATTTTCATTGATAAAATCTGAATTAATAGCAGCAACTATCTAGAATATATTCTTAGGAACTGGTAATAAGTTGCACCATGACTTTGTTCAGTATAGTTACTATATAGGGACTTAGTAAATTTAATACATACAAAAATAATGTATCTTATTTATATAATGACTAATAAAGTAAGAAAAAATAGTCTAGACAATAAGCATGACATTTTTAATACAATAATTAATTCGATTCGCTTTTTTTCTACAAGCAGATCAAATTCACGTGACCTAAATTAACGCGTTTCTATTACGTCATTTGCGAGAAAATTATAAACAACTCTTCTGGTTATTCTACCTCATAAATTCAAATTAAATGCCGAGTATTCGGGAATTTGGTTGAAATGAATTCCAAAAGAGAAGAAAAATTTTCAAGGTGAATAAATGCGTCGTGTTTCAGTCTTACAACTTCATGTATTTTAATCTTCCTTTCACTTCTCACGAATATAAGAATGTTACCACCGCCTACATTGCGTGTGACAGAACTAATGTCAAAGGAAAATTTGCCAAGAGTACCTGCCAGAAGGATTTCTTGTTTACCTACAAGTGGTACTTTGAAGAGAGCCACCAACAAAGCCACTAATCCCGGGGTTCACTCTTTGACAACTAAATTGACAGGGTAGAATATACAACGAAATTTTGTGGGATTGAATGTAAAACCAGTATATTTGATAAAATTGTTTTATATATAGGATGGGGGGTCTACCGAACTCGAGGAAAGGTACATCGAATCAAGTAAGCTTGAAAGATTTTAAATTTATTTAAGTTGTATATGCATTTTGAACATTTTTTCTGCTAGCCTTCACTCGTTAAACCCTTCAATCAACAATTTACGACTCTGTCGAAAAATAAGCACATTAAACTGCCTACCGGGCTAAACCGATCTGTTGCGCCGAGTCGAAATAATCCTATCACAAAAGTTGGAATGACACTATCGCGTATTAAATTGACAGGAAACAAAACAAATAAAGCCCCCCAAGAAACTAAATTAAAACAACCCATCAGACTCTTTTCCAATTTACAATCTACGAGCACACCAAGTGCAAGGCGTACCACTCGTGTTAATGCTACCAATCTCAATCGTCCCTTGCGTTCGAGGGAAACTCCTAAGTCCGCCATGCGAAGAACAACAATTAATGTTCCCAAGCTGCCAACCGCTGCTCCTTCACGTAAAATGACAAACGTTGATCCTTTGCGTAAACCCGTAAATGCAGCTTCTTCAAGAATAAGTGCTTTATCGACACAACGCAGAAGAACTATGGCTCTTAAAGACATTCAGGATAATTTCA